TTATTCAATTTCATTTTTATTTAGAAAGGTCTCAGGTAGAGTAAGATGTTCTTTATTATTAAATTCTTAATCAAGGTCAGTAAAGTTTTTATGATACAAAGGTGTTTCCTCACTTCATTCAGTCCTGAACCATGCATTTAATTATCAACCTCACCCAGAGTGGATGGGCTGGAAGTATAAGTAGTATGACTGTACAGAACTGATGCTGAAATAGCCCAGTGGCCAATAAACACTGATGATTCAATTAGGTCAAGTCTGGGAATCTAAAGTTAGCAATTCAAAGAGTCTTAGTTTTGGGCTTTGTGAGAGTGGGTGCTAGGGCTGTGTTGAAGTTTTAGTGTGAAAGGTGGGTGATGAGGAAACTCAGGACATTGGGTTTGGGGTTAAATTTAACTTTTAGTTCCTTATCCTCTGTCTTTGCCTGAATGACTATTTTTACATTCACTTGTGCAGAGGTTGATTTCAAAAGATAACCTACGTAACCATGCAGCTCCTGCTTCTTCCTGTTTGATGATATTGCAAGTATGAAAACAAACTAGCTTAGCCATTATGTTATATTTACTGAAGTCATGGGGCTTTGAATATATTTTTCGAAATGTACCCCTATGCGAATCCATTTTTTTTTTCATATTGCCAACAACAATTTGTGTTAGATAGCCCTTTTATAAATAGTTTTAAGGACATGATTCTGAGTTGTTTTGCCCTCCCCAGCAGCCCCTGAGGTTTCTCCCATTGGCCTTTAGAGTCACCAGCACTCAGGAAGCAAGTATGTCATGCCCTTAGTTGCAAGCCTTTGTGTACAAGCTGTTTTTCCTTTCTTCAGTCTTCCTCAGTTTGGCATGAAAAAAATCGAAGTAATGATGCTTTCCTTCCATTATAATTCTTTCCAGAACACGTCATTTTAGCAATATAACAGTCCCTAATGGTTGTGTCTGAGTTTTCTGTTACTTTTCTCATTAATTCAACCATAATAACTTAATTGAAACTCTTTTTATGTATCCAAAGTTCATATACTATCTTGGTTTCTCCTACTGATTCCTTTCCATCTCTTTTACCTCTAAATTTTGGCATGCCCAAGGAGCAGTTCTCCTCTTTCCTTTCTCATTTTCTAAGACAGTGCCCTCATCCAGTCTCATGGTTTTATATCCCTTTCACATGCTGATGGCTCCCAATTCTATATCTGGTCAAGACCTGTCCCCTGACCTCCAGACCTGTATATCCATCCAGCTACTTACATGACATGTCTTATGGCCATCCCTGACTTAATATTGTCTCCTGAAGGTCTCACACAAACAAGATTCCCTGACGCCTTCCCTATCTCAGTTAATGCTAGCTCCAGTCTTCTAGTGGCTTGAGCCAGAAACCTTGGTGCCATTCTTAATTCATCTCTTTGTCTCACACCCAGCATCTGGTCTATCACCAAATCCTGTTAGCTCTGTCTCCCAGAATATATCCACATTTGACCATTTATCACTATTCCTTTTGCCACTATCCTGGTCCATGCCACCATCTTTTGCCTTGGTTTATTGAAGCCACTTCCTAACTGGTCTCCCTGCTTCTGCTTTTCTTCTCTACAGTTTGTTCTTAGCATATTACCAAAGTTATACTGTTAAAAACTTCCCTCAGTTCTTAAAATTTTTCTGTTGAAAACCTTCCAGTGGTTTCCCATCTTACTCAAAAAAGCTAAAGGCCTTAACTGTTACCTACAAGAACCTTGTGGTCTGATCATCTGTTACCTCTCCACTCTCATTTTCTATCATTATCCTCTTAGTTCACTCTGTTCCAACCCCATGGCCTTTTGACTGTTCCATGAACATTCCTTTCTTTTAAAGCCCTTATATTGCTGTTCACTCTACATAGAATTCTCTTCCTACTAGTATCAGCAAAGCTAGTTTTCTCACTTCCTTTGGGTTTTTATTCCCTGAAATCATCCCTGGCCAACTTACTGGTTTTCCTCTCTCCTACACTGAAATGTAAGAATTCTTAGCACTTAGAAGTAGTCCCTGGCATATAGTAGATGCTCACACATCTACAAATTAATAAGTGAATGGGTAAATGATGTGATTCTCATTATACCTCTTAAAAAAGAAGATGGTAAGCTAACATAGCTCTACTAGGTATAAAGTTATGTTGAAGAAAATAAGGATGGAAGGACTGAAAGAAGGCTGGATGGAAAGATTTGGAAAATAATTTTAAACTTCTTGAAATGTAACAATGCTATAAATGTATGAACAGCAGTACTATTTTATTTATTTATTTTTTCTTTTTTTTTTTTTTTTAGAGAGAAAGGAAGAAAGAGCAGGCAGGGCTGGGACAGTGTGCAGAGGAAGAGAATTTTTTTTTTGTTTTTAATTTTTATTTATTTTTATTTATGATAGTCAGAGAGAGAGAGAGAGAGGCAGAGACACAGGCAGAGGGAGAAGCAGGCTCCATGCACTGGGAGCCCGACGTGGGATTCGATCCGGGGTCTCCAGAATCACGCCCTGGGCCAAAGGCAGGCGCCAAACCGCTGCGCCACCCAGGGATCCCAGTACTATTTTATTTAAATAACTACTTGTTTTTCCTGGGGGCCACAAAAATGAGTTACTCCCAGCTGGATAGCTGCAGTGTGAGCCAGGAGATAAAGTTCTGCTCTGGATTAAGAACTGTGGACAAATATTTCAGATATCATTGAGTCATTGTGTAATTTAAGAAGGATAAGTAACTATGTGTTTTGGATTCCAGGAATAGTCTTAGTTTAACTCTTCTCTTAATTATTAATAGGGTGGGGTTTTAATTATCTCAAGGGTCTGAGTCTGATGATAAGTTATAAGGGTACCATATAATTAAGGTGCTTGCTTCTGGCTAGTGATTGATTATAGCAGATATTGAAATTCATGCATGATAATTCATGCAGATATTGAAATTCATGCGAAGATAGTGTGACTTCGCGAACCCCTATTCTGGTGACTAGTTGCTTTGAGAGAGCACGTTTCAAGGTTGCACTAATAAGACTTTGATGATCTGGCACATAACTGGAACCCTTAAGAAAATGGTAATTTTCTATAATTTTTTTATGCCAGTATAAGTAGATGTAGAAAAGTTTATGTAAATTATATTATGCTATATGTATTATCCTACAAGTTAATGTTTTGTGTTATTGTATATAGATGTACTTCATTTTTTTAAGTTATTCACTGTTTTGCCAATTTTCAAAAAATCAGTATCAAAAAACAATGTGTAGGAGAGTTGCCTTAAGATAAGCAAAAACCATAAGATAAGCAAAACCATAAGATAAAGCAAAAAAGAATGCTTTCAGTCTCTTAATCACAAGTAAATAGCATGAGGTATGTGTGTCTTACCATTTATGGTTTAGAAATCCTTACGTTGAATTTCCACATTAGCAAAAAAAAGTAAAAACTCAGACCAACTTGCCAAAATCTGGCCTTATGGGAATTTTTGAAGAGAAGTCATCACCATAAACATGTATACTCTGTGTAGAAATTCTCTTAAATCAATAAAGAAAATAAGGAAATGCAAAGAACCAAAAAAGAAAAATTCTCCCTGGTAAATCACTCAAAGTCAGTGATTACTAACAATGCATTTCATTTCTCTTTTTATATCTGTCATAAGTTTTATTTGTATATTTTTATATGGCTTTAATCATAGTGTATATATACATTTACATCCTGTATCTCCCCCTCCCCAATTAATATTTAATATTTTAGTAGTAAGATAGTTAATATTTTAACTATTTTTCTATATAGTTTAGAATAGATTTCCAGAAGAATTACTAGATCAAAAGCTTTGGCTTTAAAAATATTTTTTGAGGGGATCCCTGGGTGGCGCAGCAGTTTGGCGCCTGCCTTTGGCCCAGGGCGTGATCCTGGAGACCCGGGATCAAATCCCACATCAGGCCCCCGGTGCATGGAGCCTGCTTCTCCCTCTGCTTGTGTCTCTGCCTCTCTCTCTCTCTCTCTCTCTCTGTGACTATCATAAATAAATAAAAATTAAAAAAATTAAAAATAAATAAATAAATAAATAAATAAATAAATAAATAAATAAATAAATAAAATATTTTTTGATGTATGTTGCTATACTACTTTTCATAAGTATTGTACTAGTTAATACTTTAACTAGTTGGGTCTGATGTTCATTTCATCACACCTGTGCTTGGGTTGGGCATTTATGATTTTTAAAAAAATTGTGATTGCAAAAACAAAATTCTCTCACTGTTTTAATTTGCATTTGTTCCATTTTTTGTGACGTACATTTTTCTGTAAACATATTAGTTGTATCCTATTGTATATTAAAACATGATTTGGCAGCTTACAAAACTTTTCTCCATTTAGGGGAAAATATCCCCTTATAAATAAAACTTTAATAAAGCATATTCAGCATATTTATGATGTGCTTTCTTTACTATAAAGACAATTATTAGTTTTTTTTTTTTTTTAGGTTTTATTTTGTATTTATTTGAGAGAGAGAGAGAGTGAGCACAAGCCAGGAGCAGGGGCAGAGGGAGAGGGAAAAGCCATCTGCTCGCTGAGCTGGGAGCCTGTTGCTGGTCTTGATTCCAGAACCTTGGGATCATGACTTAAGCCAAAGGCAGATGCTTAACTGACTTAGCCATCTGGGCGCCTCAAGACAATTATCAGTTTTAATTAAAGATCAATTATCCAGGTTAGTATATTGAAATTGACCTTAAGAGTGGCCAAAAAAAAAAAAAAAAAAACTTTCCAAATTGCTTATTTAGTGGAAAACAATTTTCACATTCGGGAAATGTGGCTTCTTACTAAGAAATATTTAAATATTTATCTTGGATATATCTAACAGCATGTGCATATATATATATATATATATATACACACACACACACACACACACATACACATATATATATTAGGTTTCTTTGATTTCACTGAGTACTAATGAACAACAAACTAATCACAGAAATTTGATACTTTTTTTTAGAAACACATTTACTAAAATAATATCTTAAATATTTTCTTCTTTTCAAGGTATCATAGACGTCGTAGGAAACTGGATCCTCCAAAAGACAGATGATACTGAGGTTTTCAGGAATCAAAAAGATGTTATCTTGTGTCTCATTTGCCATTTGAGAAATGCAATTGAGTATATTCACTAATATGTTATATAGCAAAATGATAATAAAATGTCTTTTCATATGTTAGAATGTGTATTTCTTTATATATATTAGGGAATCGTGGATTTGACATTCTTATTTACAGAAACCTATTTCATCTTTGCTTTTGAGATATTAAGGTCTACCATTTATTTTTATGTGTCTAGTGTGATTAAGTATTTTTACATAATCAGTCAAATATTGTTAGTAGTATAAATATGATTAATAGAAATGTGCATGGTTCTCCTTCTCAAGGAGATTTTCAAATTGCTTTTGAGAAGAAACGCATGAAGTCCACCCAGAAAACAAATGTTACAATTCTTTGTTGTGGCTTCTAGGAAATTATTAAATTACTGTTGACTCTTGAACAACATGAGTTTAAACTATGTGGGTCCACCTATACACAGATTTTTTTTTCATATAAATAAATAAAGTCCAGTACTGTAAGTTGTATTTTCTCTTTCTTAAGATTTTTCTTTCTTTCTTTAAGATTTTGTTTATTTATTTGACATAAACAGAGAACACAGGCGGGGGAATGGCAGAGGGAGGAGAAGCAGATTCCTTGCTAAGCAGAAAGTCCATCTCAGGACCTTAGGGTCAGGACCTGAGCCAAAGGCAGACGCTTCATCTACTGAGCCACCCAGGCACTCCTCTTTCTTATGATTTTCTTAGTAACATTTTATTTTCTCTAGCTTTATTGTAAGAATACAATGTAAGATAACATGTAAGATAATATGTTAATTGACTATGTTAATCAGTAAGGATACCAGTCAAGAGTAGGACATAAGTTAATTTTTTGGGAAGTCAAAGTTATACATGGATTTTTGACTGCATGGAGGGTTAGTATCCCTAACCCCCTTGTTTAAGAGTCAACTGTTATTACATTTTAATTAGATCTACTGCCTGTGAAGTCCTTTATATACATCATTATTAAATTCTCACAATAATCCTTTATTTTTTTAAGATTTTGTTTATTCATGAGAAACATAGGCAGAGGGAGAAGTGGCTCCATGCAGGGAGCCCGATGTGGGACTCGATCCTGGGACTCCAGGATCACGCCATGGGCGGAAGGCAGGCGCTAAACCGCTGAGCCACCCAGGTGTCCCTCACAATAATCCTTTAAAGGAAGAGCATCATCCCCATTTTACAGGTAAAGCCAAGTGACTTGAATCCTACCTACTTAGCAAGTGGGAGAGCCAGAATCCAAATGGTCTGGCCCCAGAGCTTTTTTACAGTGCATTTATTGTGGCAAAAGGGTATTTTCCTCACCCAAGAATGTACTTTCCTAGAAAGAATATTAATATAATTTGTTTTGATATTTTTTTCTGGTCATTTAAAAAATTCTAGCTTCAGAACACATGCTACTCTGGGTTAAAATGTTAATATCACTAAATTAGTATTATAAATTAATGTTAATAGATTATTCTGTTGTTGATTGTCACTACCACCTTATATGTGATCCTTAATGCCCCTGTGATTTCAATTTAGGAAGTAAAGAACCTTTTTTTTTTTTTTAAATTTATTTATTCATTCATTCAGAGAGAGCGAGAGAGAGGCAAAGACACAGGCAGAGGGAGAAGCAGGGTCCATGCAGGAAGCCCGATGTGGGACGCGATCCCAGGTCTCCAGGATCACACCCCAGGCTGCAGGCGGCGCCAAACCGCTGTGCCACCGGGGCTGCCCGGAAGTAAAGAATCTTTTAGAAGAAAAATGCTTTATTCAAACTTGTAAAATATTTGTGTGTGTGTGTGTGTGTGTGTGTTTTTAATATTTGTGTTATTTAAAAATCTGATGGGGGGATCCCTGGGTGGCGCAGCGGTTTGGCGCCTGCCTTTGGCCCAGGGCGCGATCCTGGAGACCCGGGATCGAATCCCACGTCGGGCTTCCGGTGCATGGAGCCTGCTTCTCCCTCTGCCTGTGTCTCTGCCTCTCTCTCTCTCTCTGTGACTATCGTAAATAAATAAAAAACCTTTAAAAAATAAAAATAAAAATCTGATGGGAAAAGTTACTTCAGTGAAGTGAAATTGAATGAAATTCACTGAAATGAAGTTTTCATTTCATTTAAAGTCTGTTTAATCTAGTTATTTATTTATGAATGAATGAATGAATGAGAGACACAGAGAGAGAGAGAGGCAGAGACAGGCAGAGGGAGAAGCAGGCTCCATGCAGGAAGCCCGACGTGAGACTCGATCCCGGGACTCCAGGATCATACCCTGAGCCACCCAGGTGTCCCTAATCTAGTTCTTTTAATAAAGGCACTCTAGCTGAAGTTTTAAGTATTTAGTAAATGTAAGGAATATAAATAGGAAAGTGTAAAGGAAATAATAATGGCCACCTTCTGATACCAAAAGGAAATGTTTTTAAGTAGCTTACTTTTTTCATTAATACATTAATTTGGGGGGAAAGATTAAAGCAAAACAAGTTGGTAGAACTTAAATATTTACCAACTATGTTTAATGACATTGAAAAATGGTTAAATTTTTTTTAGGTTGAATTATACCCAAATTTTTACAAAGATTGAGATATGCCACATTTTAAAAGGAAGAAAAAAGAATTAATTTATTAAATAAGAAATTTTTTCTAAGTTCAAGGATGTACTAAATAGAAATTGTTCAACTCTAAGATTCCCAAACCACACATCTACATGTCAGTGCTTTGACAGATTTGACTTCAATCTTATTCTACTGGAAATACAGATGAATACTGTAGTTGCTGGAATTTGGTTTTCATGGATTACTATTATTTAGTTTTGCTAAATAAGTACATATTCCATTACCACCATGACCTCTTTTCTGCTTCTTCCATTCCCTGCAACCCCAGGGGTAATAACTATGTACCATCACATTACATTTTATTAAATGTCCACTTATTTGTTTCCTTTTCCATGAAATTTAAAAACTACATAAAAGATGGAATGGCCCCTTTAAATAGAATTAATTTAGCTTCATGAAAAATTCACTACCCTAAGTTTTTTGTTTGTTTTTTGTTTTTACTACGCAGTTCTTGTGTGTCCATTGGTGAGGTGGATTAACTGCACACCTCATTGATGAAAAGCACTGTCAGTGAAACCACCAGAGGGCACTCTCACATAGTGTTCAATTCAAGTGTTGCTCACCCAAGGGTAGTAACTTACTGTGCTTAATTACCAGAGAATATTTGGATGTTCTTTAGGGAAGAATGACTAGTAGAATAAATAGCAGTAGTGAACTTATGTGTTGAAATATTTTGAGGCCATTATTCATTCTGTTGATTTATTCAAGCATTTACCAACCCCCTAATACATAGGAATAGGTACTATACTTTTTGCTAGGCCAATAACAAAAAAAGACCCTTCTTAAGGATGACAGTATCTACTTCACTAGTATCTACTGAGCTACTTAATTTTCATAGTGATGTTTTTAAACATGAACATAATATTATTTTTAATTAAAAAGTAAATAGAAAATAAAAATTAGCCCTTATTATCCCCTGTAAAGATAACACTAAAATTTTTGCTTTCTTTCTTCCCTTTTATTTCACTGCATATTTCAGAAAATAAAAGTAATATTAATTATTCATGCTATTTTATAACTTGATTTTTTTCATCTAATATAATTAATTTTTTTGCCATATCATTAAATACTCTCTTAACAAATGCAGATTATTGTATAAGCTGATTGTCAGAATTAACTGCCTACTTTTAGACATAATCATTGTTTCTGTTTTGTCCCCTATTATAAATAATGCTGTTAACATCTTAGTGGATACTTCTACTTTTTTGTATAAGACTATTTTGAGGGGCACCTGGGTGGCACAGTTGGTTCTGTCCAGCTCTTGGTTTCAGCTCAGGTCATGACCTCAGAGTCTGTGCTCAGGGCAGAATCTGCTTAAGAATCACTGCCTCAGGGGACCTGGGTGGCTCAGTAGTTGAGAGTCTGCCTTCAGTTCAGGTCGTGATCCTGGGGTCTTGGGATCAAGTCCCCCATCACACTCCCCAAGGGGAGCCTGCTTCTCCCTCTGCCTATGTCTCTAACTTTTCTCTGTGTCTCTCATGAATAAATAAATGAAATCTTTAAAAAAATAGGGATTCCTGCGTGGCTCAGAGGTTTGGCGCCTGCCTTTGGCCCAGGGCGTGATCCTGGAGTCCCGGGATCAAGTTCCATGTCAGGCTCCCAGCATGGAGCCTGCTTCTCCCTCCTCCTGTGTCTCTGCCTCTCTCTCTCTCTGTGTCTATCAAAAATAAATAAATAAATAAATCTTTTAAAAAAATAAAAATAAAAAAACAACTCACTGCCTCTCCTGCCCCTCCCCCCAAATAAATAAATCTTAAAAAAAATTTTTAGTTTTTAGAACAGTTTAAGTTCACAGCAAAATTGAATGAAAAGTACAGAGATTTCCCATATCCCCACATATGCATAGCTCCCCCCTTACCAGTATCACCCACCAGGATGATACATTTGTTATAAGTGATGTACCTACATTGACGCATCATCACTCAGAGTTCATAGTTTACATTAGGGTTCACTCTTGGTATTATGCATTCTATGGGTTTTGACAAATACAGAATGGCATATGTCTGCCATTATATATCTATTAGCATAGTGTCATTGCCTTAAAAATCCCTAAAAATGGTGTCTGCCTGTTCATCCTCTTTCCCTTCCTAACCTGGAAACCCCTGATCTTTCTTGTCTTCATGGTTTTGCCTTTCCCATAATGTTATATGTTAAGAGTCATGCAGAATGCAACAGATTGGCTTCTTTCACTTACTAGTATGTCTTTTCATATCTTGATAGCTAATTTCTTTTTAGTGCTGAAAAATACTCCATTGTCCACACTTTATCCATTCACCTTCTGAAGAGTATAGATATACTGAAGGGTATATTGGTAGCTCCCAAATTTGAGAATTATAAATAAAGCCACTATAAACATCTGTATATAGGTATGGACATACATTTTCAACTCCTTTGAATAAATGCCAAGGAGCATAATTATGGATTGTAAGGTAAGAATATGTTTGGTTTGTAAAAAACTGCCAAGCTTGCTTCCAAAATGGCTGGACCATTCTGCATTCCCACCAACAGTGACTAAGAGTTCCCACTGCTCCACATCCTCAACCAGCATTTGGTGATGTCAGTGTTTTGGATTTTGGCCATTCTAATAGCTGTGTAGTGGTATCTAATTGTTTTAATTTGCATTTCCTTGATATATTGCCTGTGGAGCATCTTCTCATATGTCTGTTTGCCATCTGTGTATCTTCTTTGGTGAAGTGTCTATTGTTAAGGTCTTTGGCCCATTTTTCAATCAGGTGGTTTTCTTATTGTTGAGTTTTAAGAGTTCTCTGTATATTTTGTATATCAGTCTTCTATCAGATAGGTGTCTTGCTTATATTTTCTCCCAGTGTACGGCTTGCCTTTTCATTTTCTTCACAGTGTCTTTTTACAGAGAAGAAAATTTTAATTTTCATTAGGTCTAGC